AGGTTTTTGATGAAAACATTCCAGGATTTTCTCCATATAATGGACTTCATTGGGAACCAAACGGTTCAAAGTCCAAAAGACAGTTTCTGTGCAAACTGTTCAAAGGGCTTTAAACGATTCTAGACGATGAATAACGGTCTTTATCAAGCGAAACGATCGGTCATTTAAAAAAAAAAAAACGTTTAAGTTTTATAAGCTCAAATGGTCGCCTTGCTCAGTTCTGTTATGCATGTTCATGACTCTCCTATTCGAACTCGTTCATCAAAATTAACAAATATTTTTCGGAGTCATTAGGTTCATTTAACGAACGAAATGAATGAATTGACTCGAAAAAAGATTTGTCAGGGCTGCCAACTCTCAAGCATTCAGCACAAGACTCTCGCAGTTGAGCCAATTTTCATGCTTTCACGACAAATTGACTGTTAGCCATTGGACCTTGAACCGTTTGGTTCCAAGTGAAGTCCATTATATGGAGAAAAATCCTGGAATGTTTTCATCAAAAACCTTAATTTCTTTTTGGCTGAAGAAAGAAAGACGTGGACATCTTGGAAGACATGGGGGTGAGTAAATTATCAGCAAAGTTTTTTTTTTAAAAGTGAACTATACTCCTTTCAGTTACTTTATTTATTTATTTTGTGTTCTGTTTAATACCTCTGCAAATCAATGCATTTTATGTTAATGTATTTTGTTTAGTTTTCATAATGCTTTACTGATGTAGTGCATTAAAGTTTATCTTTCAAAGAGAGTTTGTGTGTTTTGTAGAAATATTTTTTACTGGGTTTTGTTGAATTAAAATGTTTAACTGTATTTTTAATACATTAAAATATATTATTTTTTATATTAAATGGTTTTTGGAAAAAATATATTTTTAATATGTTAATAGTGGGTCCTATAGTGTTCTACTAATACATTATTAATAAGCTGAAATTATATTTAAAATATACTCAGAACGCATTAATGTAAAGCTAAAAATATACTAATGCTGTATTTCTAAAGTCGATTTAAAGTGTATTAAAATACACTTTAAATAAGTGCTATTATATTACATTAAATGTACTTAAAATGGTTCCATTTTAGCACAATTTAGTATAATAAAATATATTACTATTACCTTAAAATTGAACTTAAATACATATTAAAATACACTTAGTATACTTGAAGTTGTTTCAATTTAGCACATTTAATACATATTTAATACGGTACACTTAAAATACATTAAGTATATCAAAATAAGTACATTTAAATATATTTCCTTTTCACCTGGGAAGCCTGTCGTGTAATCACCAGTAATAACCTTTTTTTCTTCAAACACAGTGTGCAATGTTTTTATAGTTGTTTTATGTCACTGTCTAGATCTATAACAATTAAGTTGATAAACGTCAATGGATAGACGTACGTTAACTCGCTTTAGTGTCAAATCAACAGAAACGCCAGTAATCCACAGAACATCGTCATCAACTTCTGAAAATATTTTCTAAACCCAAAGTGAGAATACAGCCAATTATACTAATCACTTAAATGAATAAACTTACCACCAAGAAGTAAGATCTTTTCTGGCAGTATCTTGCTCTGTCCATGTCGTGGCGGCGCACCTCTGCGTTGTCCTCTTCACTGCTAAATTGTTCGCGGGAGCTGACGACCTGGTAATCTGCTCGTGTGTTCTCTTAATATTAGATCGGTGCTATCCACACTCACTAGGTCCGAGTCAGTGAAATAACAAAGCAAAATTTGGAAAATACATGATTTCTGTTGAAATATCCGAAGTGATGTGTCGTTCATGAACGATTCGTTCATTTTGAACGAATCTTTAATATGACTCGGGACTATCGAGTTGTCTCAGGGAGTGATTCGTTCATCTTGTGTTACCCGCGCATGCGCATTGCGCAACATATGGATTCTGAATCTGTACTGGAAACAGAAATGATTAGTTCATCTCTCGAGTCTCGAGTCCGAGTCTTTCGTTCTTCCTGTCAGTCCCATAGAGCCTATGCTGTCAGTACCGGAAAGATTAAAGATTAGTTCATCTCTCGAGTTCGGGTTCGGGGGGTCCGAGTCTTTCGTTCTTCCTGTCAGTCCCATTGAGCCTATGCTGTCAGACCACCGGAAAGAGGAATGATTAGTTCATTTGAGTCTTCGGGTTTGAGTCCTTCGTTCTTTAGTCACGTGAATTGTCACCGTATTGAATACCCAAATTCACAAACTTTTTACAAACTAATTCACAAACCTTTTACAAACAAGCACGTAGATGATGTAGTTAATTAATGTACAATATATAATAAAACACACCACAGATGCATAATATAGAAAAGAGACGGACAGGGACAATAATAAGGAATAAGGAATAATGGACGTTTATAATGTTTATTGAACATTTGTATTTTAATGCCTATAACACAATATTCAGACGCAGTCAATAATACGAATCTAATGTTGTATTTGATGCGAGACCCGTGGCCACGTGAGAAACGACGGACTCAAACCCGAAGACTCAAATGAACTAATCATTCCCCTTTCCGGTACTGAAAGCATAGACTTAATGGGACTGACGGGAAGAACGAAAGACTCGGACCCGCCGAACCCGAACTCGAGAGATGAACTAATCATTTCTCTTTCCGGTGCTGACAGCATAGACTCTATGGGACTGACAGGAAGAACGAAAGACTCGGCCGAACCCGAACTCGAGAGATGAACTAATCTTTAATCTTTCCGGTCCTGCTATATCGCATGGCACGGCCAGCAGACAGCACAGATCAGAGTCAGACTGACGAGTCAACAGCTAACGTCTCGAGACATGAGAGGAGGAGAACAAACCTGATAAATATGAAGTTGCAAAGCAAAGAACGTCTCGGATCAGGAGGTGAGGTGAACTATAACAGGGTCAGACTGCATAGCCTGAACTTGAGACCCAGCAACTAATTAATAGCTAACGTTACAGTTATTTCAGTTGCTTTTGGCTTTGGCTGCATTACCCTATTATGTTATTTTTACAAATGTAATTAAGATTTTCGTAAGTAGGTAGTAGGTGTATGGGATATTTAACATGACATTTTAATTATATAATTATGAAATGACCGAAATGAACGAAATGACTCGATAAAAGATTCGTTCATTTTACTGAACGAGACTCAAAGATCCGAATCAGTAAAATGATCCGAACTTCCCATCACTATAATGGAATATATACCACGGCACAGACAGTCAGTATACGTTGTCCGCGCCCCGCCCAACATGTAAGTTCAAATGGCAGTGTGTGATTGGACAATTGCCGGCAAGCTTGTTTTGAAAAGATTGGCTCTGATTGGTCCAAATGAATGCAACTGGAAATACTAAACTAACGGCCACAAAAAAAGAAACAACTCTGTTAATATAAACATAACATGCTTTATAAACAGGTTTTTTATTCATTTTGGATAAACAAATGTAAGAGTCAAGCTTTTAACAAATTTATTTTGTTTTTCTAGTATGTACACCTGATCTTTTATGTTGATGTGTGCAAGTACTGGTATTCACTTGTTTTGTGGAAAAGACTATTTGATTAATTAATGCAGAAGTATAGAAGTGCATTACTTGTAATTTTTAAACTTTATATATATGTCTCATTTGTTTTTCACAATATTTTTTTAAAGCAGGGCTGAAGCACATGCTACAGTATAACATAAATATTAAAAATATATTGCTCTAGTCCTCTACAAGGTTAAATAAATTATAAGGTTACAAATTGCTATACACACAAAGTAAACACAAAAAAATACTTTAATTTAGCAACAAGTATGCTTTCTGTAAATACACTAAAATTTCACTAAAACTATGTTTGTTTTTAGCATATTTCTAAAAGTGTAATTAAGTGTATATTTATTAGCATTGCGTTTCTAGTAAAACATTTTTAAATATAATTAAAATATGTTTGTATTTAGCATATTTCTTAAAAATGTAATTAAATACCAATGTACTTCTAGTACACTTTTTAGAAACATATTTAAAGCATGATTGTCATTAGCATATTTATTAAAAATATAATTAAGCATACATTTATTACCAATGTACTAATAATATACTTTTTAGAAATACATTAAAAGTATGCTTTTCTATAGTGTATTTCTTAAAAGTGTATTTAAACATATATTTATTACCAATGTAATTCTAATATACTTTTTAGAAATACATTTAAAGTATAATTATCATTAGCATATTTATTAAAAATATAATAAAGCATACATTTATTACCAATATATTACTAATATACTTTTATAAATACATTAAAAGTATGCTTTTCTATAGTACATTTCTTAAAAGTGTAATTAAATATATATTTATTACCAATGTACTTCTAGTATACTTTTTAGAAATATACTAAAATGCAATAAAATACATTTTTAGTACACTTTAAATAAGCATGTTGTAAATACAAATGTATTATAAACACACTATTTGTATTTCAAATATATTTTTAATACATTTAATACAACGTCTTTTTCACCTGGGATATGTTAAATCAAAAATGCAAGATGCAATTAAGGAAGTTGAAAAATGGACAAATAAATGGGGATTTAAATTATCAGTGTCTAAAACACAAGTAATATGTTTTTCAAAAAAGAACAAGATCTCCCCTGTATCATTAAAATTGTATTCTCAACCTCTTGAGCAAGTGAAGGTTATAACATTTGATGAAAAATTGACATGGAAGATTCATTTGGAAAAAATGATTAATAAATGTAAAACGATTATTAATATCCTACGATGTCTATCAGGACAAACATGGGGAGCAAGCAGGGCATCGTTACTAAATATATATTGGGCACTAATGAGATCTGTCTTTGATTATGGGTGTATAGCATATATGTCATCAGCAGAATATAATGTTAAAGCATTGGATGTCATGCAAGCTCAGGCTTTAAGGATATGTAGTGGATCTTTTAAAACTTCCCCAGTGTCTTCTATGCAAGTGGAAATGGGTGAGATGCCTTTGAGCATCAGAAGGATACAACTGATGTTGGCATACTGGGTTAATGTGAGGGGACAAGTTGATAGCCACCCAGCTAAAGCTATCTTAAAAGAATGCTGGGAACACAGTAAGTCCAATTACAGAAGTTTTGGGTGGATTGGTGATGTGAAAGCTGAGAATAGGGTTATGTAAGTTGCAGTACTGTTCAACGGTTTCAATCCCTCCTATTCCTCCATGGTTTTTCTCTATACCAGATGTAGATTTAGGCGTTCATAAGGAGATCAAAAATAAAGCAAAGGAAGTAGTAGTGAAGGATATTGTTAAGAGGTATTTGGAAATGCATTATTTTGGATATACATATATATTTACAGATGGGTCCAAGGATCCAAAGACAGGACATGCTGGGTCAGAAGTATTTATTCCAAACAGTGGGGTTAAATGTCAAGAAAGAATAACAGATAATTTATCAGTATATACAACAGAACTGGTTGCAATTTTGTTGGCCCTGGAAGTGGTAGAGGGAAATGAGTTAAATAATTCACTGATAGTTATTCAGCTTTAGAAAGCATTGAATCTGGGAAATCCATAAGAAATGATGTATTTCATAAAATTTGGATGATTTTACACAAGTTAAATGCAAAGAATTTAAAATGTTTCTCTGGGTACCTGCACATGTTGGAGTGAAAGGGAATGAAGAGGTCGATAAACTTGCAAAACAAACACTGAAACATAATAGAATATTACAAGTTCCATATAGCAAAACTGAAGCTAAAATATTAATTAAAGCTTATGCAAGATCAAAATGGCAGGAGTATTGGGTGGATCATGATAAAGGGAGACATTTATAATATACAACCAGAAGTGGGTATAGGAAGAATAGAGTGTAGGAGTAGAAGAGAGGGAAGTATAGCTAATAACACGATTAAGAATAGGACACACAGGGCTTAATTCAGCATTGAAATTAATAGGGAAACATTCAACAGGGAAATGCCAACATTGTACTCATTTAGAAACTGTGGAGCATATTTTATTTCAGTGCACAAAGCAGTGAAGAAAGAAACCAGCTTTTTCAATCTCTTAGAATGGTTAATCAGAATAATTTCACAATGCACTGTTTATTAGGGAAAACATCCTGCAACAATGATCAATTTGTTATTAAGTTTCTGAGAGATACAGACTTAGCAAAAAGGATATCATTTTTTTTTTTTTAAGTTCCAATATCTCCTGATTCACACTCCAGCCCAGTCGGTGGCGGTAAATGCACCGTTAAGTTGGTTTGCCAACCGCCAAAAAAAAAGAAGAAGAAGGAGAAGAAGAGAAAGTGAAAGAAACTTTCAATCTGCGTTAGTTCCGTTAGTTCTCTAAAAATAGGATGAAGTACCCCAGTATTATGGATAACAAATCGTTGTGCTTTTCTGGGATGCTTGTCTACTTAAGGTAAATGATCTGTTTCTTGTGTTAATACACTCTTAAAATGGATGTGTTAAAAACAACACAACCTGTGTTATATCTTAACACACCTGTGTGTCTAGTTAAGGACAACACATTTTGTGTTACTTTTAACTCAACCAGTGTGTTATTGTTCTTAACACAGGGAGTGTGATTTCACTAAGTTTGCACTTTGAATTAGATTAAAATGTAGCAACTGACAAAATATTGTGTGTAAATAAGTTTTATTTACACTGGTGCACTCTTATAAAATGATTTTGTAAATAACACAACCTGTAAAAAGAGATGTTAAAAATGACACATGCTGTGTAGATTTTAACACATATAGTGTGTGTGCTTAGGGACAACACATTTTGTGTAGATTTTAACACATGCTGTGTAGATTTTAACACATGTAGTGTGTGTGCTCAGGGACAACACATTTTGTGTAGATTTTAACACATGTTGTGTAGATTTTAACCCGTTTTGTAGATTTTAACACATGTAGTGTGTTTGCTCAAGGACAACACATGTTGTGTCAAATTTAACACACAACCTGTGTCGTTTCTTTACACATCTCTGTGTTTATAAGGATTACACATTTTGTGTTACGTTTAACACAACTAATGTGTTAGACAGCAGCAGTGTGTTGTTGAAACCTTTTACACACTAATGTGTTATAGTAACACAACTTGTGTCAGATATGCGTCACATGTGACTGTAGTCGGAGAGTATTTGCCAGAGTTACTTCCCGTGTGCTTACAAAAGTGTTTGGATGAACACTGACACGTATTGGTAACTTGTGTTTATGTAGTCCAGTGATGTTTAATAGAGTTTGTTTGAACATTTGGATGTTTTAAACATCATTAATCTACATAGACAAGCTCTTATTGAGAATTAACAGAGGTTTGATGTTTCATTTCAGTTTTATTTCAAGTCACCAGAATCTTGATTAATGGCTCCTTTATTTGGGCTCTTGACCCTTTACTCTTGTTTTAGTGTTTCTCTGCCTGCTGTAACTGTATTTTAATAAAATACATCTGTTATGGTGACAGAAAATATGATCAGAAGGTTCTTGAAGATGTCATAATCAGCAAGTTATGATCAAGTTTTTGAGTATATGGATGGTGTGCTTTATTTTAATGATTTATTGTTAGTTCTAAAGATTTTGTGAAACTATATCCAGCTATCCAAAAGTGCAGAATAACAAAAAAAGTTTAAAACTACAGCAGAAACCAGTCAAATACAGATATCAAGAATCAGCGTATGGATCTCAATAATGGTGACAAACGAAAAGTTCCATGCCGCAATGCATGCTGGGACTTATAGATGAGCTTTATACTAGAGACATGAAGCTTTGCCACCATTGTTGAGAGTCATATGCTGATTCTTGATGTCTGTATTTGACTAGTTTCTGCTGCAGCTTTAAACGTTCTCTAAACATATATTTTTAAAAATTATAGCATAAGGTAGCATACACCATAATATCATGTAAACACTGAGTATCTGTAATCAAATATAAGTTATCTCTTAAACATTAAACTTCTCTTGCTATGTTAAAAAACATTATGTTGAAAAATGATCATTTAATGATCTTTTTCCTCAAGATAATTTCAACTGTTTCAGATGTGCAATATAAATACACAGAAACAGCAAACAGAGAAACGAATGTTAAGGTTGAAGGGTCAAGACCCCAAATAAAGCTGCTACTAATCACGATTCTGGTGACATCAAAACAAACATTCAATGAATCGTCAACACAAAACCTGGTAATTCTCAATAAGTGTTTCTGTAGACGTCTGACAGAAATAAATTGTTTGTTATAATAAATTAGTTGAGCCATTCCACCGAAAGGGATTCCTGTTACCTAAATGTTTTCTTAGATTTAATTGTTTTATTTTAAAAATATTAACTTTTGGTAAGGCACTAGAAATGGCTCAGTGTCCTCACGCTATTAGCATCACTGCTATGTGGCCATATGCCATATATTTGATAACTTTTTGCTTAAAAACTCAATCCTGTTACCTTCAGTACTGTTACTAATTGTTTCTTTTTCTAAAAAAAATAAAATGAAACCACTATTTTTATCATTTTTGTTTGGCCCATAATTTATACAATTATTTAATGAATTAATTCTAAAAAAAAATATAAGCTTGAGGCTTCGGCCATCTTTGAAATGAAAAAATGCCTTTGTGTTTTTTATATCAAAATACACCTTGCTTTAATAGTGATTTTATTGGCAAAAATATCAATTTTTTTGAATATATAACCAACAATTTATTTAAAATAAACACTTTCTTGTGGGGAAAACAAAGGAATTAATTGACATGCTTCTAAACTTGCTTTTTAAATGACACATGGTTTTTGGTATCAGGATTGAGAAAACATTCGTCCATATTCTGCTTAAACCTTGTAAAATAATAAATAAAGTTGCACGAGATTGACCAATACAAATTTAGAATAGTTAAATATGTGTAGTATTAGATTCAATGTTAAAAAAGCTCAAAAATAAAGTTTATTTTTGAAGAGTTACAACAAGCAAATGTCACCCATTCGGTGGAATGGCCCAGTTATTAATAACAAGTGAAATCAGCATTTGAAAAAAACATTGAAACCGAGGCATGATGTGATTGGCTGCCAAAAACACTCATTAATCTGAAGTTTTTTTATGAATTAAGATTTTATTTATTTATTGTAATGTATTGTTTCATTTATTTTAGAGCTTGTTATGGGATACCATATAAAATATACTACCTCTAATTAGGTTCATAAACACAAACTTCCCTCCACCCATTAAAATTCTATCCAGTTACATTTTAACACACATTGTGTGTTAAAACTACACAACTTGTGTCAAAATACCATCAACACATGATGTGTGTTGTTTTTTAACACATCTCTTTTTAGAGTGTACTTTGTGTATTCAATATGGTATAATAATGCGGGAAAAAATTCCAATCGCTAAAGCATGTTAGCATACAGCTAATGACTGTTAAAGTGTTTGGACACATATTATATTCACCAGTTTAATGTTTTTAATTTATTTAATATGTTACATGGACTGATTATATAATATTTTACACAGGTGTTTTTATATGTTGATAACCTCCTCGTCCACGGGAAAAGCCATTCTACATCGTCTCTGATGAATCGTGGCGTCGAGTAGGCCCGTTCATCACCGGTTTCCGTGTCTGCTAAACCGTTAGCTGACTGAACTTGTACAGTTGGGCCTGACGTTCGTGGCAACTGGATATCTTCTCAGGTCGTCACGGTGAGTACTACCAAGCGCTTTAAACTATTTCTGTTTTCTTTTAAAGTGAAGCGGCCAGTGTTTTCTTTTTCTGTGTGTGTTTTTTTGGCCATCACTCTCTCAAGCTTCGTTACAGTCCTGCAACAATTTATTTAGTTTAAGACTGAATGAATGAGAGACATGGGTGAGTGTGTGGGCCCACTTGATTTATTGTCACAGATGTTCTACTGATTTCTAACTGATGTCTAACTACTGTAATAATCAAATTGGGTGAATGTGAGCCTCTCCTTACAGTGGGTTATATAATAATAATGAACGTAAATTTTCAAGAAAATTATGCAAATATAAATTGAAACTAGCCCACTGAGCAAAATGATGTCCAAAAGACGTCTTTTCAACGTCTTTGTCACAAAAGTCGGACGTTGAAAAGACGTCCACTGAGGGGCCGGAATGAAAGTTTTTATAACGTCTTTTTTGACGTGTTCTGGACGTCTGAAAAAGATGTTAATGGATCCTTCGTACAAGGTTAAAAACTAGTTCAAATGTGCCCATTTTCAACATTATTTATGGTCTCATTTAGACAATTTATACTGTTTCTTGACCAAATAAACACTCTCAGGATGCATTAAATTAAAACTCAAGTTTATTTCAATGTAATTTCCTTACATTGTTTAGATGGTGATATTTATTTTATTTTGAGTCACCATTGTGGTGATCAGTGTTTGCTTTAGTTGGGCTCTTGGTCCCAATAATTAGTATTCTAGCTTTTCTTTGGCTGTTGTAACTGTGTGTTTGAATAACACCATTGTTGTGACAGAGAAAGCCAAGAAAACTGACTCTCATCAGCTCCTTGTTGTTGTTGATGATGATGATGATGATGAAATCAACATAAAGTGGGCATTTAACGTTGTGTTTAGACTTTTGTGTTTGTATCTGGAGTTTATAACCACCAATTTTGTGGAACTGCATTAGTAGCATGGAAGTTGGACAAAAAGCAATTTTACACAATGTTTTGAGAAAATCTACCATAGAGTCACACACAGACATGAAGATTTTGCATATGATTCACAAAAATGGTGACAATAAATAAAAAAATGCTTCATGCTGCAATGCATGATGGGTAGCTTTATAGTACAAAACATCCTGGCTTTTTTGTTTTGGTTGTCACCGTCGTTGAGAATCATATGCAAAATCTTGATATCTTGTGTGTGACTATGTGATTCACTTTCTTAAAACATATTATACACAGTGGTCATTATAAAGTTACTGGTTCAAATAATGCAGTTCTAAAAAGTGAATAGTTCATCATCATCATCATCTTCTTCCGCTCATCCGGGGCCGGGTCGCGGGGGCAGCAGTCTAAGCAGAGATGCCCAGACTTCCCTCTCCCTAGACACTTCCTCCAGCTCTTCTGGGGGGATACCGAGGCGTTCCCAGGCCAGCCGGGAGACATAGTCTCTCCAGCATGTCCTAGGTCTTCCCCGGGGCCTCCGCCCAGTGGGACGTGCCCGGAACACCTCCCCAGGAAGGCGTCCAGGAGGCATCCGGAACAGATGCCCGAGCCACCTCAGCTGACCCCTCTCGATGTGGAGGAGCAGCGGCTCTAGTCTGAGCTCCTCCCGAGTGACCGAGCTTCTCACCCTATCTCTAAGGGATCGCCCAGCCACCCTGCGGAGAAAGCTCATTTCAGCCGCCTGTATCCGGGATCTTGTCCTTTCGGTCATGACCCAAAGCTCATGACCATAGGTGAGAGTAGGAACGTAGATTGACTGGTAAATCGAGAGCTTTGCCTTACGGCTCAGCTCCTTTCTTTACCACAACAGACCGGTACATCGACCGCATTACTGCTGAAGCTGCACCGATCCGTCTGTCAATCTCCCGTTCCATCCTACCCTCACTCGTGAACAAAACCCCAAGATACTTAAACTCCACCACCTGAGGAAGGATCTCTCCACCAACCTGAAGTGGGCAAGCCACCCTTTTCCGGCTGAGGACCATGGCCTCGGATTTGGAGGTGCTTATTTTCATCCCAGCCGCTTCACACTCGGCTGCAAACCGTCCCAGTGCATGCTGAAGGTCCTGGTGTGAAGGGGCCTGGACACGGAAGTGAATAATTATTTCAGATATAAAAACAGAAGTTTAGATGTTGTTTAATGCTTGCATTGCGTTGATTTTGTCATCATCAACAAGCAGCTGAAGACAGATGATCTTTTATTTTCTTGGCTTTCTCTGCACAATCAATGGTGTTATGCAAACAGTTACAACAGCCAAAGAAAAGCTAAAGTAAGAATTGGGACCAAGAGCCCAACTAAAGCAAACACTCATCACCACAATGGTGACTTAAAATGAAACAAATCTCACCATCTAAACCACATCTAAACAATGTAAATAACCATGAGTTTTAATTTAATGAATCCCGAGAGTGTTTATTTGGTCCAGAAACAGTATAAATTGTCTAAATGAGGCCATAAGTTATGTTGAAAACATCTCCACAATGGCCACATTTGAACTAGTTTTTAATCTTGTCCGAAGGACCCATTAACGTCTATACCGGACGTCCAGAACACGTCACAAAAAGACGTCATAAAAACTTTCATTCCGGCCCCTCAGTGGACGTCTTTTCAACGTCCGACTTTTGTGACAAAGACGTTTAAAAGACGTCTTTTGGACATCACTTTGCTCAGTGGGAGGGCTGGGCGATATATCGCACGATATTGTTATGCGCGTCTAATCAGTAAAGCCGGTTCCTTGATTAGTAGTATATCACCTTCACATGCTTTCAAATGGACGATATGAGTGTTAAATTAACCCTCAAGAGTGTTGAGATAATTAAGTGATTAATTTAGTGATGATTGAGCATTATTGAAGACACCTGATGATCACAAGCAGAATCGCTGAAGGACAAAATCACAAATTGTAAGCCACCATTATGGAGATCAGTGTCTGCTTTAGTTGGGCTCTTGACACTTTAACTTTCACTTTAAATTTTAATTGTTTGCTGCTATTGATTTATAGCAGTCAAATAAGACTTCTGTGGTCTGATAGTGTTGAGTATATTATGACAATCATGCTCGACCTAAAAATAAATTCTATTCAGGTGATTTTTGAATCACCAAATTTGCTTCAATTTGTTAGCAACATTTTTGTGGTTGTTTTGCATATCTGTATTATTCTTATAACTTAAATTTTTTTAATATATATTCTGATCAAATCACTGTCATCTCTATTTAGAAACACAGATATCAATAATCAGCCTGTGTATCTCAATCGTGGTGACAAAATTAATCCTTGTTGCCACCAATCACAACTCATTAATGTCTCCCATCATGCATTGCGGTTTCAATAAATTACGACCTGAATTGTCTATGTAATTTACTTTTCCTACTTGAATATTCTACTCGTCACCGTTGTTGAGAAGCATTGACTGAATCTTGAGGTCTGTGTGTGCCTAAAGGAAAGTTTTTTGTTTGTTTTTTTTACTTTTGAGAAATCCGTCAATTATATTTAACATTCTGGACATTATGCAGAATCTCAGTTATACACTAACCAACAGAATAAATTATAGACATAAATATCAAATGATGAATGTCATTATATGACCAACATCATTTTATTATTGTTTATTTTTGTTCAACTGACAGATATAACTCAGATGCAACAGCAAATTAAAATATAAAGTTAATATTATAAGGGTGAAGAGCCCAACTAAAGCAAACACTCATCTCCATAACGGTGGCTTAAAATTTTAGATTTTTTCCTTGTGATTCTGCTTTAGGTGTCTTCAATAATGCTCAATCATCACTCATTTAATCACTTAATTATCTCATTAACTTTAACACTCTTGAGTGTGGACTCATATACACTCCCAGGTGTGTTAGTTTAACACGGGAGATTTCGTCGTGACGAAGAGCCGTAGTTCACTGACCAGCTGAGCCATATCGCATTAAATATCGATATGTCCTCGATATTAACGCGATATGGCTCAGCTTGTCAGTGATCTACGGCTCTTTGTAGTGAATGCCGCTCCATTTGAAAGCAGGTGAAGGTGATTTACTGCTAATCAAAGAACCGGTGTTCTGTCGATCTGTCCTACCTTGTCAGATTTTCCTACCGTAGCGCAAAATTATAGCCATATCTATCGGTTCTTCCTACCTCGTAAAATCCTACTGAGCGTTTCTGCTTCGCGTCTGTGACTAAGTTACATAAAATATTTCTGTGTAACTTTGCCGAATTTTCTTATTAGGCCATGTTACGGTGATTTTACAGTGCAAAGTAACGTTACCTCTTCAGATTGTCCTATGAAATAAACGATAGGATGATTTTACGTTGCAAAATGCCTCATCAGATTGTCCTACCAGTATGAAATAAACGAGTAGAATGATTTTACGTTAATGTTTTCATGAAAAAAATGCTAATATGAATTTGCTTTGTATGAATGTGAGAGTAAACAGTTCTCATTACTGCTATATATCTTTGTATAGTAATAATTGACAAAAATAGTGAAAAACTTACCTCAGATGAAGAAGATCTCGCGCAAGTAGTAAAATATTATGGGCGTGTTGTTCAGCGTGACAAAAATGACGTATTATTGATGTGCGCATGCGCAGTAAGCCTTGGTAGGACAATCTGACGGGTAGGATGGAATGTCAGAACACCGGCTTTACTGATTAGATGCGCATTCAATATCGTTCGATATATCGCCCAGCCCTAATTGAAACTGAATAAAATATCTGTGAAACTTAAAAAAAAACGGCAGGCAATTTTTTTTTACTTTGTTTTTAATACACTGCATGTTTTGCTAATTGTTTTCACATCTTTCTTTCGTTGATCTGAACTTACTACGCTTCCTGACTTTTCACTTATGCATCTGCACTCAAAAAAATGATGTGTTGGCTTTACTTAACTTTGTCATGTAAACAGGTTCCACCGGTTCCACATAACTTTGTTTTGTTAAACAAACATAATTTGTTCATGTAACTTCAACATCATGGAAGTCATTTTAAGCCATCCAATCAAACTCT